ATCAATAAAATTTTAAGACGTGCAAGAAAAAACCTTTATTTAAGAAGAACATGATCTTAATTACTGCACGAATATTTTTCACTTCAAGCAAGACTACGGCATAAAGAAATTTGACACTAGCACTTTAATCAATAAAAAGATTCTGCATCTAAACCATGCAAACACTTCCCTGTAAGACTTCTCTTTACAAAAATAACAAGAATTGTAAATACAGGATCAATGATAACTTCTTTTCATTGTCCATGATGTGTTCATCGCGATGCCGAAATAAATCTTATTTTAAAATAAGGTAATAATACGAATGAATGCCGAAATCCATAGACACAAAGATCCAAAATCGAGTCTTTTAGCATATCTCTATGTTGGAAAAGCCACAATCGCCACTTACATTGAACATACATGCCACTGTGTGTGTGTGTGTCTATATATACACATTGTACTCACTTCCCTTAACTAGAGCTATCATCTATTAAGTCGCTACTCTCGCTAAACGACCAAAAATCTGGCGCAACGGCCAACGAGAAGATTCCAAACTTCGCATTTATTACAACTTAACTTCCGTATCTATCCATGTGCTTCAATACGCACATTTCATCCTATCTCTCATTAGATCAAATGCAAATAGAATTTGATCATAAAAGCTTTTTTTTTCTCAAAGGCCAGAAATCACTTTCCCCAATCAAAACAGACTTCATCCAAACCCTTATCACAACACACATATAATTAGACCTAAAAATAAATAAATGAAAAAAATAAACAAGAGAACTCCCACCATTGACATACGAATTGAAGACTGAAATGTAGAAGGAAAAGAAAAATCTTAAATGTGTAAAATTAATCAGATAAGAAAGTACCGAAAATCAATTAAGCCCAAATTAAACATGATAAACCAAAATTAAAACGAAAGAAAACTAATTCAATTAAATTCAAACAATTACTGAATTTTCGAAAGAAAAAAAAACAGTTCAAAAACGCCGAAGAAAGGGAAATTAAACCTGAACTGGTGACTGAAGAGATTCCGACAATCTACAATTTCAAATGCAGTGAACGGAAACAGAAAAGAAGCTAAAAATGAGAAGAATTAAGAATAGGGTTTTATAGCAGAGAATTGCACTGGTCACGAATTCTAACTTCTGACTGCTTGGTCGGGAGAAATGGAGAAGAGGCTGAAACCGGCTAAATAAATTAGGGCACGGAAATTACAATTTTCATCCTTCAAGTTTGGACCGATTTCACATTTGGTCCCTTTTGTTTAGGGCTGGGCATTTGGGATCGGGATTCGGGATCCCGTCCCGTCCCGAACGGAATTTTACTATTTGGGACTAAAACTTCGGGAATTCGGGATTACGGGATTCGGGATTGGGATTATGAACAAATACGGGATCGGTATTAGGGAATTGGTTCAATCCCAATCGGGATATTTTAATCCCGAATTAGGAAAAAAAGAAAAAAAAACTAATAAAAACACACACACACACACACACACACACACATATATATATATATATATATATATATATATATATATATATATATATATATATATATATATATATATATATATATATATATATATATATATATATGTATATGTGTGTGTGTGTGTGTGTGTGTGTGTGTGTGTGTGTGTGTGTGTGTGTG